GGCGGGGGGTGGAGAGAGCTCCAGAAAGCTTGTTGAATGGTTAGTCTTTCTCCACCTCGCCCTGCTTGAACCAACTTGTTCCCCTTCCTGGTACCCCTTCCTGGAACCCCTGGGTGGTATAAGCCCCTGGGTGGTGTCAGTTTTCTGCTGGAAAACTGGAGGTTCCAGTTAACCAAGAAGTGCCTAGCAAGAAAGGCCTGGTGATCCACTCCTCAAAAACCAGCCAGGCAAATCTAAGCCATGATGCTCTGCTGCTCCTCGGGCCAGCATGAGGCCGACTTGAATCCATCACAACTGGTTTCCAGATGCCATAGACAAAAGGAGCTAGGTGGTCATAGAGCACAACTGAATCTAGAGTCAGCTTTTCTGGGTGCTCTGTGACAGGCTTTCTTTGTCCTGGGATCCATCTCCTTTTCCCTGAGTGTCTAAAAGCCAAAGACAAATCAAAGAGAAAAAGGTCACTTTCAGCCAGGTTAAGATAAAACAGACAGCATTTTAGGTTAGGCAGTTGTCTGCCTCCCACTTCTCTTCTTACTGGCATATTCTTGATTCAGAGAATGCAGACAGCTGCAAGGAAAAGATCACTGCAAGTTCATTGAAATGGAAAGAGTGATCATTTTCCTTTATTTTAGTTGTTAGGCTTTTATTCATTTCAGCAAAGAACAAACGGACATTCCTAACCCCTTTCACCATAACACATTGAAGAGAAGGCCTATAACTTTCTTAGTGAAAAGTTCCTCTTTTTACAAGGGGAACTCCCAAGATGAGAGCTTTTAGGCATGCTACAGGCCTGGGGCAGAATTCACTCCTCTGCCTCAACTTTCAGCCAAATAATAGACAGGCCATGCACACAACAACAACAACAAAAACAATGGGTCTCTAATGAGTCATACTTGACTATATGATAGCATTTAAGAATAATAACAATAGGGAGAATAATAGCATTAGGTACAACACTAGCTCCTTAGGACAACAAATCACACAAAGAGAACTGGGTAGCATTTGCTGAGAGAAAGCCCAGAAGGCAGGAAAGAAAAGTATAGGGGGATTAATGGAATTTAAATCATGGGAGGACGTAGGAAGAGGGCCACTAAAATGTATTATGATTATGTCCAAAACCAAGATGTGTGTGAGTAGTGGACTAGAAAGTGAATTTGCTCTATAAACTTTCAATCACATCACAATTAAAAAACAATGAAAGGAACTCTATTTATTCTTTCACACAATGCCATTTACTCACTTAGCAATAGGTCACTAGCCCTGTCCTTTGTGCCAAGCTTGAGTGAGACCCCAGGAACTTAAAGATGATGAGTGGCAAATATTTGATGCTAAGTGGATAAGAGTGGCCTGTCAGGAAGAAGCTTGGAGAGGCTGTTGGTGAAGAGACAGAACAGCTGAAGAGAACCGCAGAGGAGGGGGTGCTGCTCCCAGCTGCCCCTCACAGCCTGGGAATTGCTTCCTACGCTTCCCACAGCTGGACAAAGCAATCTTGCTTGCTTGTGCAAATGTCAAACAGCTGCCTTGGGAGATCACCTACATCCCTAGAATAGATTTGGGCCTGAGAGAATTTTTATATAAAATAAGAAGTGTCTAGTTCACTAAGCAAGGGGCCCTGGTTTGCATTCAGTTGCTAGACTGGAGGTTGACAATGTGAATTCACCCAGCAGTGTCACCTAAGGAAAGTTAAGGCCTGGCAACCTATCTATAAAGATTCATTCACTCTCACTGCTGTCAAGTCGGAACCGAATGATCACCAACCCCCTGGCAGAATTTCAGGATGCTATAAATCTCATGGGAAGAGATTGCCCATCTTTAGCCCGAGAAGCTGCTAGAGGATTAGGCCAGAAAGGCGCCATTTTTGGGTTAGCAGCTCAACTATCCACAGACTACCACACTAGAGATCCCTTCTGTAAAGATCACAACCAAGAAACCCTTCTTGAGCAGTTCTGCTCTGCAACATAAAAGGTCACTATGACTTAAAACTGATTTGATCTCAGTGGATTTTGGTTTTTAGGTCTCATGGGGCCCTTGCTACCTAGTAGACTAGAAATTGTTGAGTTACTGTATGGTTCGCTGCATATATTTTAAAAGATAATTTTTGAAAAGAAATGGCATTGAAAACTTGCCTTCTCATTCACAAGTTAAAACCATCTGGATCAGAGGAAGACTCATCAATAACCTGTGTCATGCAAATGGCACAATTTCTTGCTGAAAGTGAGGAGGACCTGCAATGCTCGCTGCAGAAGATCAAAGACTACATACAGCCTTCAATATAGATTATACCTCAACATCAAGAAAACAAAATTCAGCACCACAGGGCCAATAGACAGCATTAAAGTTGTCAATAATTTCCTTTTGTTTGGATCCACAAACAACACCCTTGGTACCAGCAGTCAAACAATTAGAAGACATGTTGCATTGGGAAAATCTGCTGTCAAGGACCACTTCAATGTGTTAAGGAGCAGTGATATCAGTTTAAAGACTGAAATGTGCCTGATTGACTCAAGCTAGGTCTTTTCAATTACTTTCTATTAATCTGGAAGTCAGACAATGAATAAGGACAGCAAGAGAATTAATGCTTTTGAGTCGTGGTGTTGGAGGAAAGCACTGAAGTCGCCATGGCCTGCCAAAGGAACAAAGACGTCTGTCTTAGAGAAAGTGCAACCAGGGTGCTCCTTAAAGGCAAGGATGGTGAAACTTCATCTCACCTACTTTGGGCATGTTTTAAGAAGAAGCTATTTCTTGGAAAAAGACATCATACTTGGAAAAGGCGAGGGTCATTGAAGAAGAAAATGATCCTTAACAGGATGGATTGACACAGTGACTGAACAAAGGTCTCAAATATATCAGGGACAATGAGGATGGCACCGCACAGCACAGGGCAGGGTTCAGATGTGTTATTCACAGGGTCAACTCCAAGGCTGCTAACAACAGTGACTCACAAGTTCTCTCAGAGCTGCCTCAGCCTTTTGCCATCAGGCTACACCCACAACCTAGACCTCCTGGTTAAGAAACTCTTAACCAACCACTTCTAAATCAGCCTCTCCGAACTCAATCTCTTCTAACTTAAGCACATTAAGACCTTCACTGGTGTTTTCAATCCTTTCCCTATTCTGATTCCCAAACCTGTCTGCAAATGAAACTACATTGGTTGTTGTTCTTGTTGGCAGGTGCCTTCCAGTTAATGTCAACCGATAGCCATCCATGTGAAAACGCAGCAATTCCTCCTGGGGTCTTCTAGGCTCTGATGTGCGTGGGAGCAGAATACGAAGCCTTTTCTCCATAAAGACACTGGATGAGCTTGAACCACTAATCACTGCACCACCAGGCCTCCTTTTAAAATTCCTGTGTGGTAAGTGTAAACCTGGGCTGGAGAAGAGATTTGTAATCTCTTAGATCCAATTCACAGGACAACCACCGGGCCAACTGACTAGACTTTAGACTGTTCCCAGTCTAAAGAAAGCTGACCCGACAGAGTGTGGAAATTACTAAACAATATCATTGATATTACATGCAAGCAAGATTCTGCTGAAGATTACTCAAAACGACTGGAACTGCACATCAACAGAGAACTGCCTGAAGTACAGGCTGGGTTTGGAAGAGGCCGTGGTATTAGGGATACTATAGGAATGTCAGAAGAATCTTGGCTGAAAGCAGAGAGTTCCAAAAGAATGTCTAACTGTGTTTCATCAACGATGCAAAGGCATTTGACAGTGTGCATCACAACAAACTGAGGCTGACTCTGAGAAGAATGGGAATCCCCGAACATTTGATTGTGCTTATATGAAGCCTATACTTGGACCAGGAGGCAGTCATTAGGACAGAGTAAGGACATAACTGCCATCCAAGCAGATATATGCACACCCATGTTTATCGCAGCTTTGTTCACAATAGCAAGGAGTTGGAAACAATCAAAGTGCCCATCAACAAATGAATGGATAGAAAAGCTGTGGCATATTCACACAATGGAATACTACGCTGCTTTGAAAAACAAGGAACTCATGCAATATTATTCAAAATGGGTGACCCTGAAGGACATTATGCTGAGTAAAATATCTTAGTCACAAAAGGACAAATATTATATGGTGCTACTGTTGTAGAATGAGGCTAACATTGGGGTGGGGGTAAGACTGAGAAAAACTGGATAAATTATGTTTACTGCATTGAAGCCGATGAGGGAGAGAATAG